GGTTATCTGATTGGTGGATAAAGTCAAGGCACGAGTGAAAATTAAACCTATCACTGCAAAGTACGAATCCTCAACTTCACTATTTAAAGGAAAGAAATCTAGTTTTTGGTTCATTAGGTAATACGGCTTGGTGGATCTAGCCAACGCCCAATTGAGAGGGTACAGCCATATACATTCAATCTTCCATTTATCGAGTATATGATGAAAAGATGCGAGATGGTGGTACTCAGAGTTTTGAATACATGGACGAACCGAAACATAGACAGATGCATGGATGGACGCATGAACAGACGCAGGGGTGGATGCGTGAACGAAAGCAGGGATGAACGCACGAACAGACGCACGCACGGACGGGCGCATGGACGCATGGACGACCACACAGACGGACGCATGGACGGACGGAAGCAAGAATGAATGGACGGACGAATGCTTCGCCCCACTCTCCATCATTCACTTTGTTGATATGCTGCCTATTTTTTATCCCTAGAGTATGGTCGCATTGCTTGGCCAGCTGGCGTGACACTTTCTGGGGTTGACTGACGAGCTGAAACATAAATTTTTCTTTTGTATAGACGAAATCCTTTCCTTTCGGCCTGCATAAGAAGCCCAATGGCCGCGAAAAACCTAATATTAGCAATCTATTATTACAAAAACAGAAAGTAGGAATATTTTGCGAAAATATTAGCAATTTGTTTCGTCTTCCGCCGGTGAAATCCTTTCTTGCATAGGCGTTATGGCAAAAACTATTGTACTAGATAAAATTATTCTTCCAGGCAAAAAACGAGCTATTCGGGACTGCTGGTAGCGTTTTGTTGTTTGAAATTCTTAGAAAAACAGTTGAATAAATATTTTATTCCGACAGCAACTATATGGACACTCCCGCCTTGATATTTGACGCCAGTGTCGGTGTCACTCACTGTATATGTATACGTGTCTATATATATGAAATTACAAGAACTACTATAAAAACCATAAAAGGACTCCAGTGCGCAGAATCAAACTTTGGTCCTCTAAATCGTGAGTGCAAGGCGTCAACCACTAGTCCACCAAGGAGCACGTTCTTCAGCGTTCATACGGCAAGCTAGTTACTTCTACCCCTTACCGCTGCTAATGGGCATCTCGGGGGAAATATCGTGTTTCAGCATTACAAGCAAGATGGCGCAATGAGGCACGTCACCACATCACGCGCGGGCGCACACTTTAATCTCCCACGCATATTTTGCTCCGCTTACAGGAGGGAATTGACGCTCTCTCATGCGTCAGTATCTCGCGGTGGAGAGAAGGGGAGGGTCGCACGTCTTGGCTGGCTTCGGGCTTTACTTGGAACGGTTCTGTTGTATTTACCAGGCGCACAAAAGTCTATGCGATCATTGCAGTCTCCGTTTGCGAAATGTGCGCGCTTTTCAGACAGAGCTAAGTAACAATTCGGAAACTTATTCGCGTGCATATGTAACTGTGAACACGTTTCGTGCGTCATGTTTGCTTCAGAAATGCCGGCCATGTTTCGATCTGCTTTACATTCTGCGCGTAGCCTTGGAATTTGTTGCCATCGCGTTCATTGATTCGCCTTTGCAGCAAAGCTGGGACTTTTTTATTCTTTGGCTGCTTCATGCTGTCCCGTTTTGGATAACATCGCCTTGAAGGAATAGATTGGAACCTAATTTTTCACTTCAGTTGTCACCTATGAAATCTTCACCAATGGAACGAAAGTAGAAAACGATACTGTAAGCAAACCTTGAAAAGTAACATGTATACTCAAGCTGCAAAATTGGCCCCTTCATACTTGTGTTTTGGCCTAGAACATCATATTCATTAGTAAGTAGCAACTCAGCTAGAGATGGCTACTTGTGGAACAAATGCACGTCCAATTAAGACACAAATGACGCAGAATAGTGAGGGCCATGTTAGTTGTCTTGGTCCTTTTGGTTGAGGCAGCGCTGGTTTAATATGTGTGGCTCAGTTTGATTGAAACAGGGAAAGAATTTGGCTCATTTCTTATTCGAAAGTGTGCTTTTATTCTACGTTACAATCAATAATGGTCTCATTTTGGTTACAATTTTTCGAAAGGTGAAAGATACTTAGACACGTGGTACATTCCAATGACATTTAGGCCTCTCTCTTTAGCCTTGGCGCTTTTGCAAAAAAAAATAACCCCACACGGAACTTCGTGCCGAGATGCCACTAAACCTTTTGTGCAATAGCAACGTGGTGTACTGCAAATATTCGGTTGAAACTGTTGAAGCACTCATCGTCTATACCTTACCGCTAGTCGAAAAAAACCGAGTGACTTCTAAGACTGTGAAATGACAAGCGCGTATAGGACTCGGACGACTTTTCTTGCATTTCTGACACGCATCTGATGGGCCTCGTGCTGATAAAATCGGGTGCCAGCTGCCACCAAAATCGGTCCGGGACCAATCGGCACTCAAAGGGCAGTTGCAGTGGATTTCGCTACCACCACACTGAAACAGTAAGGATGGATGGATGGATGGATGAAAACAACTTTATTTATACGTCATGTACAGCGTGTAGCCACCTGCCTGGCTAATCCCACGTCGGGACTGGGAGGTGAAGCCTCCTAGCCCTGTCATGGGCGTACTGGACAGCCAGGACTTAGGGGATATGGTGGTGAGACTTTATCATTCCTGTAAACCGTTCCCGGGAAATGCCACGGCCAAGCTACCCACATTCCGCAGAGCACATGATCAAGCGTGCATACTTCTTCTTACTTGCCTGGCAAACAACATCCATATCTTTTATATTGTACCATTCTTTTACCTGTGCCGGTGAGTAATAAGACTGTGTCTGTAATTGTCCAAGTGTGACCGCTTGTGCTCTGTTTAGTCTACTGTGAGGGGGGCAAACTCTCTCCTCCCCAGGCAGTAATGTTTAGTAATTTTGTTATACGTGATGGGCGTCCCCTGTTGTAGATTTTCACATCCAGCAGAAGCAAAGCCCTGTGTAAAAGCGTCCCGGTCCATAGGTTCGCGGGCAATGCTGTTGGCCGATTCATTTGGATTCATGGGAACGTCATCGAGTGATCTAAGGTGCGCTGGGAATCAATATATTTCATGTGTATCAATGGCCCTTTTACGAGTACTAATTCGAACTGCTTATGGTGTGATCCTGCCCCTGCTGAAAGCTCCGATGGCAGGTTTTGAGTCACTGTATATATCGGTGTATCGATCATCCGTCAGGGCCAACGCGATAGCAACCTGTTCAGCGACATTCAGTTTGGAAGTGTAAACTGTGGCGCAGTTGGTACACCTGCCCTGGTGGTCAACTACTACCGCGGCGAACTTATTTCGGCGTTTATATGAGGCAGAGTCGACAAAGCAAGCCCCGCTGCCTTCTTTATCCAACTTCTTCAATAAAGCCTTAGCCTGGGCTACCCTTCTGGCGACGTTGAAGGTTTGGTGCATATTTCTTGGCAATGAGGCAACGATGATGCTCTCAGCAAAGTACTGTGGTATTTTGGTGTACGTCTAATGATCGATGATACGGTTGGTAATAATTCTATCGACGGTCGATGTCCACGTGCAAATGGTAGAGAGTCTTGCTATTTGTAACCATTCTTGAGCCTGTGCGATTTCTCTATTCCTGTTGTGTACCCCTAACTTGAGCAATTTTTGAGTGCTGGTGCGAAGCGGGAGACCCAGTGCACTCTTGATGACTTTCTTGATCACCGCGTCGAGCTTCTTTAGTTGGGTTTGTGTCCAGTTATACATAGAAGCCGCATATGAAATATGACATAGCACGAAAAGAGTTGATCAACCTGATTAGATTGTCCTCTTTCATGCCTTTTTGTCTCTCTGCAAGTCGTCTGATCATCCGGTATGCATTCTCTGTCTTGGAGATAATTTTCTTGAGCGCCTTGTGATTCCTGTCATTTGCATCTATAAGAAAGCCCAGTACCCTCATCGTGTCGACTCTGGGTATACTTACCCCGTTTTCGGTCAATATATGTATGTCACTTTCGGATATTGGCTTCCAGCCCTTAGGTCTCCCCCCTTTCTCCTTTCTGTAAAGTAATAACTCCGATTTCTGTGGGGAGCACCTGAGACCAGTGGGCCTCAAAAATTCCTCCACTGTCTGCACCGCTTCTGTGAGTGCGTCTTGTACCTGTCCTTCACTACCACCAGCACACCATATAGTAAGGTCATCAGCATAGATGGTGTGGTGAATGTTGCTGATATTGCTCAGTTTCCTGGACAGGCCAATCATGCACAGGTTGAAGAGGACTGGAGAGATCACTGAGCCTTGAGGGATTCCATGATCACCGAGTTGAACCACGTCTGAGTTGGTGTCTCCTACCCTTAACCTCGCCGTAGATGCCCCTAAGAAAGATTTTATGTAATTATACATTTTCGATCCAAGTCCAATTTCCTCTCGCGTTTGAAGGATGTATTTGTGCCTAATGTTGTCGAATGCTTTCTCCACGTCTAGTCTGAGGATGGCTTTGGTATATATAGAGTATCCGTCTAGAATATCGTCTTCAATCTGCTTCATAGAATCCTGAGTATATAGTGAGGATCTGAAGCCTAACATATTGTAGGTGTATATGTTGTTGTCCTCCAAGAAATCTTCAAGCCTGTTGCATGCTCGGCAACTTTCCCTACACATGATGTTAGCGATATTGTTTGCAAGTTCTCCTGACTTGAGGTTTACCAGGTTTCGGTATTAGTATGACTTGAGAAAGTTTCCATTCATCAGGAACTTCACTCGAATTCCATGCTTCGTAATAAAATCAGTCAGTGATTCAATAGAGGGTTCATCGAGATTCCTGAGTGACTTGTTGGGGACGCCATCTGTGCCAGGGGCAGACTTTCTGTTTAACTCACTCAACACCCTCCTGATTTCAGATAAAGTGAAGGGTCGATCCAGCTCCGGCTGAGGGGCTCCCCGGTATACCGATCGTGGAAATCGTTTTGGCTCTTTAGCGACTGGTAGGTATTTGTCTATGAGTTTTTAGTAACTGTTTCAATGTCTTCATTTTTAAGGGCTGTGTGTATGGTCCGGGCAAGACAGTGTCTCTGTTTGGACCTGGTGCCTTGCTCGTCTAGGAGGTGCTTAATAAGTTCCCATGCTTTGCCGTTCCTGACCTGCCCATCAATAGTTTCACAAAATTCACCCCACTGCTGCTTACATGGGTTCCTGCAGTGCAGTTAGAGTTGTTTATTCAGTTCTGCTATTTTCTTGTTTAGTTTACGATTCAGTCTTTGAGTCTGCCATTTTTAGTAATGACCTGCTTTGCTTGAACTAAAAGGGCTAGTTTAGAATCCATGGCCTCGACGTTAGCGTCAGTGAGAAGCTTTCTGGTTGCTGATTTTATATCATTCTTGACGGATTTGCATTACTCTTTGAGGCTTGGTTTGGCAGCATTTGGTTCGCTTTGCGTTCTAGTTCTGCGAAAGACATCCCAATCAACAACCTCGAATTCTCGAGTGCGGCCTTTCTCAACCTCCAGCTTGACCTCGAGAACATAGTGATCCCTGCCGAAGTTATAACCGGTATTTATCCATATGAAATGCTCTACGTTATTTATAAAGGTTAGGTCAGGTGTGGTGTCTCTACAGACAGAATTGCCGATTCTTGTGGCATACACTTTATCCGTAATCAATACCAGGTCTTGCTCGTCAGCATGATGCCATAGATTCCTGCCTTTGGGGTTTGTCGCAGTATATCCCAGAGTTCATGAGCAGCGTTGAAGTCCCCTAATAGGATTAGAGGCCCAGCTTCCGTGAGTTTCGTAGCTTTCTCGAAAATTATCTTGAACTGTTGCTTGTAGTGCTTCGGGTTACTGTGAATGTTTAGGACAAATGAGCTGTTGCATCTTTGATTTTTGTATGAGACCGGCACTAATACCTCCACCTTGAGATACTCTAAGTTCTTGTCCCAAATGCCCAGATCGTGAGGGATGTGTGTCAGCTGCCTATTTACTAACACATATAAGCCTATACCATATTTTTCACACTCTATAACTCCATACCCGGTTAGCGTGACGTATCCGTACCTGTTTCTTGAAGTGCCATTATATCCGTCTTAGATTGTAGTGATCCGAGATAGTGCTAGGGTGTGGCACGTTTGTTGTTGTACCTGTCATGTATGCGATAGCGCCACGTGTTATCGATAAAGCGGCCAGCCCAGCTGCCAGTAATCATGTGACCCGACTGGCGATCGTTATAAAGCTGCATGTCTAGGCTGCCGCCCTCGCACACTCTTTTCATTTGCTGTTGTACCGGCGTACTTGTGACATAGATTGATTTGATTGATTGATTTGTGGGGTTTAACGTCCCGAAACCACTATATGATTATGAGAGACGCCGTAGTGGAGGGCTCCGAAAATTTAGACCACCTGGGGTTCTTTAACGTGCACCCAAATCTGAGCACACGGGCCTACAACATTTCCGCCTCCATCGGAAATGCAGCCACCGCAGCCGGGATTTGAACCCGCGCCCTGCGGGTCAGCAGCCGAGTGCCTTAGCCACCAGACCACCACGGTGGGGCATACTTGCGACAATATGTAGCAATAAATCGTTTCGCTACTCTATGTTCGTCTCCGAACATTGGACATAACATCTGGTGACGAAGTGATTTGAACCTTCTGCGGCGTTGGCAGAACAGAAGAAAGGTTCTACCCTGTTTGAAGTTCCTGGGGTGGTCGCCGACACATAGTGAGCTACTGGAACAGCAGAGATTGCAGACCCAGTCACGCAAGTGGTAGGAAGAATTGGCCGCATGGAGCCTTTTGACGACTCCTCACGCGACTGGACTTCATACGACAAGCGGTTGACATCGTTTCTCCAGTTCAACAACGTACCGGAGGCAGGCAAGGTTCACGCGTTCCTGAGCCTAATGGGGGCGAAGACGTACGCTCTACTCAATTCACTTACTGCCCCTGACCTTCCATCAAGCAAGTCGTACGACACCCTCATGCAATTGCTTGGTGACCATCTGGCACCGAAGCCTTCAGTAATTGGTGAGAGAGCAAAGTTTTATCGCTGATCTCAGCGTGAGACTGATTACATTGCCGATTTTGTCGCGGAACTGCGTTCCCTCTCGAGTTCGTGTAAGTTCGATAATTTCTCAGACGAGGCACTGAAGGACAGATTCGTTTGTGGGTTACAAAAACAAGATATTGAGCGAGTGCTGTTTGCTGAAGACAAGAAGTTAACCTTTCAAAAGGCAGTCCAAAAAGCTTTAGAAGTGGATTCAGCAACAAAAAGTGCAGCAGAAGTGCATGGTTGAACAAGCGTCTCTGACTTAAACTATGTAACTGCACAAAAGCCGAGGCATAAAGCAGTCGCCGTAAAAGATGCCAGCGGAAAGAAAGCGTCAAACATGTTTCGGCGGTGCGGTTCTTTTAAGCACGTGAGCAAAAACTGCAGACATGCGTCGGCGACGTGTTTCGGCTGTGGCAAGAAAGGGCATATTCAGCGTATATGTCAGTCTGATAAAAGCGTGAAGTTATCTCAGGCGTGAGCAACCAGCCTGAAAGTTCTTGACTGGGCCACAGAAGTGATGCTAAACGGCATGACGTGCTCGGCAAAATATGCCATAAAAGTACCCCTGTTGAAAAACAAAATTCCAATTCCGCTGCTCCCGTATCCAGTTGGATACGGGAGCAGCGGCATTCGTAATTTCTCGCAGGCAACCGCAACAGTTGTTCCCCTCTTTGAATTTGCGCACGACAAGATTGCGTCTACGCACTTACACAGGTGCAATAGTCGAACCAGCAGAAGTGGCTGAAGTTGTTGTTGAACATAATGGGCAAAGTGTTCTATTACTTTTGTACGTCACTGAACAGGCAGGACCGGCACTTCTGGGCCGCCCCGCCTTGGTGGTCTAGTGGCTAAGGCACTCGGCTGCTGACCCGCAGGGCGCGGGTTCGAATCCCGGCTGCGGCGGCTGCATTTCCGATGGAGGCGGAAATGTTGTAGGCCCGTGTACTCAGATTTGGGAGCACGTTAAAGAACCCCAGGTGGTCTGAATTTCCGGAGCCCTCCACTACGGCGTCTCTCATAATCATATAGTGGTTTTGGGACGTTAAACCCCACATATCAATCAATCAATCAATCACTTCTGGGCCGAGAGTGGTTACATAATGTGCACCTCGACTGAAATGCTGTATTTTCCTGCAACAAGCTCTGCTCGGCACGGGAGCCGACAAACAAGGAAGCAAAAGTAGAGGTTAGCAAGCTTTTGCAGACGTACAGAATCTTTTCAAGGAAGAATTAAGATGCATCACAGAGGAGAAGGCAGAACTCTTTCTCGAAACGGACGCTCCTCCAAAGTTTTTGAAGGCGCGCAGTGTACCTTTCGCACTGGTTCTAGCAGTGGAAAAAGAGCTTGACAAAATGCAGTCAATGGGTGTGATCACATCATTAGCCACGTGCGAGTATGCTACACCGGTAGTGGCTGTGGTAAAGAAAGACGGAAACACCCGCCTATGTGGCGACTACAAGACTACTGTCAACCCTATGCTAGACACTGATCACTACCCTTTACCACGTGTTGAAGAAGTTTTCGCTGCACTCAGTGGAGGAAAAAAATTTTTAAAAGTTTACTTGAACAGGGCCTATCAACAGGTAGTGCTAGCGGAACCGGCGCGTCGTCTCCTGGCGATAAACACGACGAAAGGACTGTTCGCCGTAAACCGGCCACCTTTCGGCGTGTGTTCGGCGCCTGGTATTTTTCAGCGAAAAATGAACATTATGCAAATGGTCTCAAAGGTGTTTCATGCTATTTGGACGATATCTTAGTGACTGTAAGGACTGGAGTCGAACACCTACAAAACTTGGAAGCCGTTCTAACCCGTTCGGAAAGCCGAGGAGTTTGACTAAGAGCTGAGAAATGCGCCTTTTTTAAAAGGACTTAACCTACTTGGGGCACAAGTTGAGTGCAGATGGCATACATCCCACGCCGGACAAGATTGATGCCATTGTAGCCGCGCCAGCACCTGAGAACAAGCCGCAGCTTCGTTCTTTGCTCGGAGTCGTAAACTACTACGGAAAATTTCTACCTCAACTGGCTACGCTAGCCCATCCCCTGTACAAGCTCCTGCGTGACGACCAAGCTTGGGCATGGACCAGTGAATGTCAAACGGCCTTTGACGACATTAGGGCTGCGTTGGTATCCCCGGAGGTGCTGGCTCACTATGATCCGCAAAGACCGCTTCAAATGGCTTTCGACGCATCTAATACGGGGTAGGTGCTGTGCTTTCTCATATTTTGCTGATGGAAACTGTTCGCCGCCTGTGCTTACACTTCAAGGACTCTGGCCGTGCTGGAGCAGAAGTATAGCCCGATGGATGAAAGAAGGCATTAGCAATCATCTATCGGCGTTTAAGAATGTTCACTACTATAGTATTACGGGCGTTACTTCACGACTGAGTAAACGAATTAGAAACCACTGCAGACTAGTTTTAGGTCCAAAGTCTGCCATACCAACCTTGGCAGCAGCAAGAACTTCAACGTTGGGCAGTGACGTTATCTGCCCACAGCGTACACCTGGAAGTTTAAACCGACAAACGAAAAATCTAGAGGCTGACTGCTTGTCACGCTGTGCCGGTTTGTGGGGATCTGCTAATGATGCAGAGGAAACGTTCTACTTCGGTACGCTTGCAATTCAATGCCGGGGAACGCACAAAGACATTGCCTGTGCAACCTCCACATTGACCAGCATTCTTTGCAAGAGTACTCGAGCTTCAAAGTACGGGGGCGGCCTAACTTTACGTACAAAGCGGATAAAAAGCCCAGTACCCTCATCGTGTCGACTCTGGGTATACTTATCCCGTTTTCGGTCAATATATGTAGGTCACTTTCGGATAGTGGCTTCCAGTCCTTTGGTCTCCCCCTTTTTTCCTTTCTGTTAAGTAATAACTCCGATTTCTGTGGGGAGCGCCTGAAACCAGTGGGCCTCAAGTATTCCTCCACTGTCTGCACCGCTTCTGTGAGTGCGTCTTGTACCTGTCCTTCACTACCAGCAGCACATTATATAGTAAGGTCATCAGCATAGATGGTGTGGTGAATGTTGCTGATATTGCTCAGTTTCCTGGGCAGGC